GCCCATTCTATGTTTTTGGCCATTCACCCTTACAGTTTCATCTTGCCCATCATATGTTTTTGCCAATCACCCTTACAGTGTCATTAAGTCTTTTTATGGCCATCCACCCTGATAGACCCATCCTGCAGACTTTGTTTTATGTCCGTTGACCCCTACAGTTTGATAGTGCCCATCCTGTTATTCAACCATCAACCCCTACAGTTAGATAGTGCCCATCCTGTTATTCAACTATCCACCCCTACAGTTTGATAGTGCCCATCTTATTATTCAACCATCCACCCCTACAGTTTGATAGTGCCCATCCTGTTATTCAACCATCCACCCCTACAGTTTGATAGTGCCCATCCTGTTATTCAACCATCCACCCCCTAAAGTTTGATAGTGCCCATCCTGTTATTCAACCATCAACCCCTACAGTTTGATTGTGCCCATCCTGTTATTCAACCATCCACCCCTACAGTTTGATAGTGCCCATCTTGTTATTGTACCATCCACCCCTACAGTTTGATAGTGCCCATCCTGTTATTCAACCATCCACCCCTACAGTTTGATAGTGCCCATCCTGTTATTCAACCATCCACCCCTACAGTTTGATAGTGCCCATCCTGTTATTCAATCATCCATCCCAATAGTTTGAGAAAAAAAAACTAAAGTACATTTAGTTTGTACTAATATTAGTACCCTACTTCCACGGCTGATTGAAGACTAACGTCACATCCGCAGCTCTTGGTGCATATTGTTAGTAAGTTTGAAGATATTAGATATACATATAATTTAGTCTAATAGTCCTATTACTAAAACAATGCTGATTTGCACTCCATAAATATGTAAATTGGTGTTCTCTTTCCTTTATCCTAATTTTTTGTTGAATCGTCTGCCATATTAATGTAATACTGCTCTTTTTGAGTATCGACAAGAGGCGCTCACTTTCTTTTTGAGAATAGACCAGAGGGCCTTAGTTCCTTATGAGACATAGTCAGGAAGTGCTTACGTACTTTATGAGTATAAACAAGAGGAGCTTACTTCCTTATGAGGCATAGACAGGAGGAGCTTATTTCCTTATCAGGAATAGACAGGAAGAGTTTACTTACTTTGGAAGTATAGACAAGAGAAGCTTACTAGCGTTTTGAGAATAGACCATATGATCTTACTTCCTTTTGAGGCATTGACAGGAGGAGTTTACTTCCTTTTGGAGTATAGACAAAAAGAGCTTACTTTCTTTTTGAATATATCGACAAGAGGATCCTACTGCCTTTATTAATTATATACAAAAGGATCTTTGTATCTTTTCGAATATAGATAAGAGGATCTTACTTCCAATTTGAGTACAAACAAGACAAGCTTATTTCCTTTTTGAGTATAGACAAGAGAAGCTTACTTCCTTTTTGAGTATAGACAAGAGAAGCTTACTTCCTTTTTGAGTACAGACAAGAGAAGCTTATTTCCTTTTTGAGTATAAACAAGAGAAGCTTACTTCTTTTTGAGTACAGACAAGAGAAGCTTACTTCCTTTTTGAATACAGACATGAGAAGCTAACTTCCTTTTTGAGTATAGACAAGAGAAACTTACTTCCTTTTTGAGTATAGACAAGAGAAGCTTACTTCCTTTTTGAGTACAGACAAGAGAAGCTTATTTCCTTTTTGAGTATAAACAAGAGAAGCTTACTTCTTTTTGAGTACAGACAAGAGAAGCTTACTTTTTTTTTTGAATACAGACATGAGAAGCTAACTTCCTTTTTGAGTACAGACAAGAGAAGCTTACTTCCTTTTTGAGTATAGACAAGAGAAGCTTACTTCCTTTTTGAGTACAGACAAGAGAAGCTTATTTCCTTTTTGAGTATAAACAAGAGAAGCTTACTTCTTTTTGAGTACAGACAAGAGAAGCTTACTTCCTTTTTGAGTACAGACAAGAGAAGCTTATTTACTTTTTGAGTATAAACAAGAGAAGCTTACTTCTTTTTGAGTACAGATAAGAGAAGCTTACTTCCTTTTTGAATACAGACATGAGAAGCTAACTTCCTTTTTGAGTATAGACAAGAGAAGCTTACTTCCTTTTTGAGTACAGACAAGAGAAGCTTATTTCCTTTTTGAGTATAGAAAGAGAAGCTTACTTCCTATTTGAGTACAAACAAGAGAAGCTAACTTCCTTTTGGAGTATAGATTAGAGAAGCTAACTTCCTTTTTGAGTATAGACAAGAGAAGCTTACTTCTTTTTTGAGTACAGACAAGAGAAGCTAACTTCCTTTTTGAGCATAGACAAGAGAAGCTTACTTTCTTTTTGAGTACAGACAAGAGAAGCTAACTTTCTATTTGAGTAGAGACAATAGAAGCTTATTTCCTTTTTGAGTATAGACAAGAGAAGCTTACTTCTTTTTTGAGTACAGACTAGAGAAGCTTACTTCCCTTTTGAGTACAGACAAGTTAAGCTTTTTTCCTTTTTGAGTATAGACAAGATAAGCTTACTTCCTTTTTGAGTACAGACAAGAGAAGCTAACTTCCTTTTTGAGTATAGACTAGAGAAGCTTATTTCCTTTTTGAGTACAGACAAGAGAAGATAACTTCCTTTTTGAGTAAAGACAAGAGAAACTTATTTCCTTTTTGAGTATAGACAAGAGAAGCTTACTTCTTTTTTGAGTACAGACAAGAGAAGCTTATTTCCTTTTTGAGTACAGACAAGAGTAGCTAACTTCCTTTTTGAGTATAGACTAGAGAAGCTTACTTCCTTTTTGAGTACAGATAAGAGAACATAACTTCCTTTTTGAGTACAGACTAGAGAAGCTTACTTCGTTTTTGAGTACAGACAAGAGAAGCTTACTTCCTTTTTGAGTACAGACAAGAGAAGCTTATTTCCTTTTTGAGTATAGACAAGAGAAGCTTACTCCCTCTTTGAGTACAGACAAGAGAAGCTAACTTCCTTTTTGAATATAGACTAAATAAGCTTACTTCGTTTTTGAGTACAGACAAGAGAAGATAACTTCCTTTTTGAGTACAGACTAGAGAAGCTTACTTCGTTTTTGAGTACAGACAAGAGAAGCTTACTTCCTTTTTGAGTACAGACAAGAGAAGCTTATTTCCTTTTTGAGTACAGACAAGAGAAGCTAACTTCCATTTTGAGTATAGACAAGAGGATCTCACTTCTTGCTTAAGTTTAGACAACAGGATGTTGTGGGAAAACCTATACATCCGTTACGACAAGTGTGATGTTACCTATCTCTCTTTGCTAATTGCAAGAATGACAGGAATTTTCAATTACAGGTTCAGCTTAATGATTTGTTGGGTCTACATGAAAATGGTACCACTCGGTAACAAAATGGCTGCTACAGTGACGATCTTGAAAGTCTGGTCACTACTTGCCTACAGAAGCTCATATCAAATGGGATTTTTATAAAATAATTATAAAACTGATGCCATCCTGACAAAATATGGCCGCTAGTGTTGCCATCTTGAAAATCGTATCGCTTCTCCTTTCATACAGACATGGAATTTTCATTTAATAACATGTGATGTTTATTTGGTTTCAAATGAAAATGGTGCTGATCTGACATCCATGATAGTCAACATGGCGTCCATGTTCAAAATCATATAGCTATTCCTCCAATTTATTTTCCAAAATAATTATTTTACTTCGTCCTTTTAGCTACTAGATTCCAAAAGTGCGGGGTAAAAATAAAGGGCTTTAATCCAGAAATGTATAAACTATTGGATGAATTTAATCTATAAGACGTCAGAGTATCTTACATTCTTTCAAGGCTGATTCAAAGTTAATAAATCTGAATGGAAACGTATTGTTAAATACCAAGGCCATTTCTTATATTCCTAGGAATCTACGGTCTTAATCTAAATTACAGAAAAGAGCGGAAACTAACAAGGTTAGTAAAATTTAACAAATAATGTATTTCCCAAGAATATAAAATTAAAATTTAAAAAGAACTTACAGTATTGTGGTTTAAACCCCAAAAGCCCTAAAAGTTCTGTGACAAGCCAATTTTCTTATCAAATTCATATATATTATCCCTTGTTAAACTGCCAAGGTCCATAAGCCACATAAAATTATTTACCTTCAAGTAATAATGGCCCAATTATATAATCTAAAATCAACCATAAGATATATCTATATAATATGTAGTTTATAATAAAAGGACCTCTCCTACCCACAATTCTGGATAAAGGTCAATCACACAATACAAATTAAAAATACATAAACATTCAATCATGGATAAAAGCCAACACACAATGCAAAGTAAATGTACATAACGATATGAAATTGCATTGAACGTTAGACTTTATGAAGATATTTCTCTTGGACGAAATCAGAATTTATTATTCAACTACATCTGATTCCCTCTGTAAAATGGGAAGTAGAACAAAATTTCCGAGATCTCTTGAGTCATGTCAACTCGTTACCAATATTGTGATAAAATTTTCTCATCTCTAGAAGAATCTGCATATACTAGTTCTCAAGCAGTCTATCTCTAATCATTTTTCAAACACAAGACCGTGAAAAATTTTGGTATAATATTATTAATAAATTTGGTGTGCAAATGTACATGCACTTAGATTCGATGTCCAGTATGGATTTGGTGAATTTTCTCTTTTAGGAATGATTACATGTTATTTGTTAATTTTTTTAGGACCGCATCGGTTGCATAAGTGCTTACAGAGTCCGCTTCGGATGCGGGATGTCGCGTGTTCAAACCCCTGCCGAGTCATGCCAAAGACTTATAAAATGATACTAAGGATTAAGAGTTTAGTTTTAGAACTGGTGGGGTGTTTATAATTTTTAACGTAGCTTTAACAATTTTTCAGTCATATCGCTACGATGTCTGCAGTGTGGCAGTTTATAGTGATGTCTAGCATTGGTGCATCATGCCGCAGACATGTAGCACGATGTCCCACCCAGTCACATTATCCTGACACCAGGCCGACCAGTCCTAATACTAACCTCTTTATGCTGAGCGTCAAGTGAGGCAGCTGTTAGTACCATTTTTTAAGTCGTTGGTATGCCTCGACCGGGGATAGAACCCACGACCTCCCGCACCCGAGGCGGACGCTACAACCAGTAGGCCACTGGAGCGGTTAGTTTTAGGACTGATCGGCCTTGTGTCAGGATAGTGTGACTGTTTGGGACATGATGCTATATATCTGCGTCATGATTCTCCAGTACTAGACATCTTTATAAACTGCTAATGCAGACATCGTAGCAAAATGACTGAAAGATTGTTTAAAGACACACAGACAGAGATCTTTAAAGAGATAAACAACTAATGTATTTCCATATCAGACGTAGCTCAACTGTTGCTACCATATGGTGTGTGTGTGTGTGTGTGCGTGTGTGTGTGATTTAGATTTTTAACGTAGCTTTAACAATTTTTCAGCTATATCGCTACGATGTGTGTGCAGTGTGACAGTTTATAGTGATGTCTAGCACTGGAGCATCATGCCGCAGACAAGTAGCATTATGTCCTACCCAGTCACATTATCCTGACAAAAGGCAGCCCAGTTCTAACACTAACCTCTTAATGATGAGCACCAAGCGAGGCAGCTGTCAATATCATTTTTAAAGCCTTTGGTATGATTCTATGATAACTACTAGGCCACCGGTATGTATGTTTGTATGTATGTATGTATGTATGTATGTATGTATGTATGTATGTATGTATGTATGTATGTATGTATGTATGTATGTATGTATGTATGCATGTATGTATGTATGCATGTATGTATGTTTGTATGTTGACAAAATATACAATAAACGTTTGACTGCATCAATGCTGATAAAAAGAACGTATTTCTAGTTAAATCTCGGTCAGTAACTCTATAAGTTATTTTATTAAAGCCACATATTATGTGTGGTTTATCATTGATAATTTTGATATCACTGTAATGGATAACTAGTACAGTACTGTTATATGAAGAAAGCAATAACTGCATTTGACAGTGATTTTTGTAATAAGTATAAGCTGTATACCTATATAGCTACCTTGCAATAATGACCATAGTGTTCAAGTAAAATTGTCATCCCAATTTTATAAGGTAGAGGAAAAAAACTGTTGAAAATTAACTATGACATGACGATATAACAGGTTCATTTTTCTTCGTTCTCATGGTGAATATACGAAGGAAATCAACCAACCAACCAACCATAAACCAATTAATTAATCAATCAATCAATCACGTTGAGGAGAGAGTTCTTTATTGGCGAAAGTTTATTTTTAACGATAAAATAAACACGCTTCATTAGTTACAACAATTTGCAGAGACATTACAAATTACAAGCTATTTAAATGAAACAGGAAGACATAGATACGAAATATATGCGGATCTGAAATCTAAATTAATAGCGAGAAATGATATTGGTTTCGTTCTTGCAAATTGCTGTCTAACTCTACAGGAAGTGTTTAGTATTTACCGTTAAAAGGATGGTGTAATTTCAGGCCTCTCTGTGTGTGTGTGTGTGTGTGTGTGTGTGTGTGTGTGTGTGTGTGTGTGTGATCCATTTCTTTATCATATATTTGAAATAACAATCTTTCCATTTCCGATACATATTGACTGCTCCTATTTGGACAGGTCAGAAAAATCGAAATGAAACCTCTCTAGTCAGGAAAGTCACATCAGAGGGCGACGTTTTCTCCATTGTGAACAGGTATCTTTGAAATCCTCGAGGCTTTTATACGTTGTACATATCTCAGTAGGAACGTACTTCCATCGTTGAAAATCTTGCAATAAAAGTGTCAAAATGTTTAAAATATTTGACATGACACACCGATGCACACGAAGCATTAAAATCGAGTTCTTTATAGCTGTCAGTCTAATCTAAGGGATTTTTGACGTGTGGTATCCAACTGGAGCAGTCAGGGCAATTCAAGGCTTCATTAAACTTCAATGCCCCCCAAAAGTCGTAAATGCCAAGATACTGGTCCATACATCTTTGGATTTCATTAAAACCAGATAAGATTGACATTTCATCACATTATTAGCCATGTATTTTCTCCCTCGAAATGACAACCCCGGCCATTTTTCATGTGTACGAATCAATCGGCTGTTGAACGGCGACATCCGTGGGTCAACTGATTTCAGTCACAACAAGATTGCAACACAAGATTTGATGACGTCACCGTTGTAATTGTGAAAAGCTAGCAACACCCGCTGGATTGTCTTAAGCCAAAGTTCGTGCTTTAATGTATATTCCAGCGCCTCAGCTGATCACCAATATTTTTTCGAGCCCTCTTTTTATTCAATGCACGCTTTTTCTTATCAGGTCCACTTAAGGAAAGCGAGTCTGCCTCTTTTTGTTCGGTCTACAGTCAATATGTGTTCCACAGGCGAATGACATTGTTATTAAATTAGTCATTAACGGTATTTGTCCAATCATATCATTGTTGTTGGAGCAGCCAGGTAAACGATCGGAATTATGAGCGGTCTTTGACTAAATTAATTGGTAGCACCTCTTAATTCTAAACTGAATATTTGAATATCTTTTAAACCTGATATCTTGATTATTTCAAAGACAAGAGAGTTTTACTTTTTTACAAATCCTTTCCTTCCTTCCAAACTTTAGTTAGAGTGGAAGAAATAGGCATCGGGGCTTTAAGTACACGTACCAACTAAAATGTGATTTTCATGTGTAGTCTTAAATAATTTTGTTTTCCTAATAGGATGATTCGTTTTATTTGACGATAAATAATTTGCCGCAAGTTGTATTTCACCAAAATTTCTTATTTAAAATTGCAACTTAAAATCTCGATCCTTACAGATATAGTAATGCTCTGTCATAGTCAATTTATTAAGGACTAGTTCCAGTTTGTATGGTGATATGGGTGATAAGTGCTAAGTCACCCCAAAAACCGCTACTAACAAAGAAAAATATTGACTTAATTCTGGTTTTACTGCTCCCTGAACATCGCCGGCAAGCCCGTCCTGTAATAATTAAACATTGATAGGCCCCGATTTAGATTCTTCCCCGCAACTTAGTGCATGGATAGTTGGTATGTATGTATGTATGTATGTATGTATGTATGTATGTATGTATGTATGTATGTATGTATGTATGTATGTATGTATGTATGTATGTATGTATGTATGTATGTATGTATGTATGTATGTATGTATGTATGTATGTATGCTGCAACACGTACTTGTATGGCTCTGGTAATTGTTGTAGATATGTCGGTTAATCATCGTCATCATCATCCCTTAACCCAAGAGGTCGTTGGGGCACCACAGTTGACTTTACAAACAATTCTCTCCATCTTTTCCTGTTTTCTACTGCTTTTTGGGAATCTCCAAATCATATGCCTATCTATTGGCTATTGGGGGAAACTAAATCATATAATCATATAAAATATTCAGATAAAGTGAACACACACACACACACACATTTTTAAAAACAAAAATAATAAATATTATAAATATACATACATAATGATAATGTAAATAGATATACCAGTAATGTCTGTGTTCAATTTATCTGAATATATTTTATGACATTATGAACGTGATATATATATATATATATATATATATATATATATATATATATATATATATATATATATATATATATATATATATATATATATATATATATATATATATATATATATATATATATATACACACACACACACAAACACACACTTTGTTTTCAATTGTAAGCTAATTATAGGTAGGTGGATATTTTTCTTTTCCATAATTTTGTTGTGTTTGTGGGGGAGGACCGGTTTAACAACATTTTTCAGTGCCATTAGAAGAAGAACGCAGGAAAATCCCGGCAAGAACCATTGACTCACGAGAACCTACTGTTAGCTTTCTCAAATGACCACATAGGCTGAGCTAGAGAGTTGAACCCACACGGATAGGGATGAGATGGCAGTGATCGGTAAAGGCAAGCTCTTTTGATTAATAGTCTACCCTGGCCCCTCCCCATAAAGTCAAAATAACTAACACAAAGTAAGTAACAAATACGTCATTGGAGAGACTTAATCCTGTCTTACAATTTGACAAATATCGGTCTAAAGGAATTAAGGAGATACACGTTTTGGATTTAATTTGTCTTTATGATCTACAGATATTCTAATTCACACATTGACAAAAATAGCTAATACGATGCAATGTGGGTAAAGAAAATAAAAAAAATGGTCCTGGGTCACAAATGTAGTCAAGGTTAAAATATTTTTTTTATACGATTACGAATGTTAGGGACATTTTAACAAGAATACATTTGGATACGAAATTGACAAAACTGTCCGTATAAATGTTCGTAAACTATGCTTTTTTTAGTACAAAAATACTACTAAACATAAAACATTGCATGCTGTAGCAAGTAGAAACAACAAAAATACTGTCGTAGCATAATGCACATGCTGATGTTTGTTTTTCTGCTGATCACTCCTAGCAAACTGCATAGAACCACATCTACCGGTGCATTATCAGAAGACAGATCCGAGTCTATGCAGTTTGCAGTTCGACTCGGGTTTTAACGAGTGTACACTGTACTAATGAGGTGTCACTCTGTAACAGATACAATAATTCGGTACAAGGATTAATTCAAAACCAGTAAGATTTCGACTACTGAATAATTCCATTACTGCATTTGAACTTCAAAAATATAAAATTTCCGACAATGAATCAATATACACATATAGACGCCCATCTTTCTTTATCGATAACATAACAATACTTCAAACAGTTTTGATCATTGTGTAAGTCCAATAGTCTTTTAGTGATTATCTGGTGAATGCGGCTGACAATGCGTGTGTTCAAAGTTCCCATTCAGTATCGACCTAAATTAGACTGCAGTGCCTTTTGGAAAACCACCACGTGATATATTTGAACAACAAAAAGTGTCAACTCTTATCACTATGCTGCTAAGTGCCCTTTTGTCACCGATTGTTACCAATGGCTACCATCGGCAGCTATCAAAGGAGCACCAAACCAAAATGTGAAGGCCCAAAACATGTCAGGTACGGTACTTGCTCAGTTATAAAATGCATGAGGTATGCTCCCTCCTCATTATGTAGATAAACCAATTTTAAAAAAGAACCAAAGAAAACTATTTAGTAAATCAAAATCAAC